TCCTGCAGTACTTCTCTATAGAGAGAGAAGCTTACAGCTTTGATTCTACATGCAGACTAATAACCCTTTTGTCTGCTAAATCTGTTATATTTGATAACTGGCAAGAAGAGTTCTGGCATAAATTGTTACTTTGCTTGAGTGTTAACCAAATGGAGATAAATGGGCAGGTCATACCTAAGAGTCGGTAGCTATGTTTTCTATCTATCTTCTCAGATACTACTGCATAGAAGGCAGCAAGCCTTCTTGGTAAATTCATGCTCAGATTCCCCATAAATGGAAAAAACAGTAGCAAGTTACAGGACCACATGTGGCCTTGGTTTTTGGTACTGCACCGCACATCCAAGCTTTATTTAACACACCCCGTCCTAGTTTTAGGATTGCTCAAAATAGACTTTGCAGTGTAATTGGGCATGTGCTTGTCTAGTTAGCAATCAGTCAGACTGAAACAATGGCAACAAGACAAATGCATGTTTATCTTTAATGCTCTGTTAACTCCTTAATCTGTTATGATCACTTTTAAATGCCAATGCTATTAATGCTGACTATTGCAGCAAAAACACATTGTAGCTGTTTGTTCCACAGGAAGAGGGTCCGTTTATACCAAGGAAGAATTAAATAATTGACCAGAGATTGTTTACTGGAAAGATTTAGACATTTATCATTGAGACATTGCAGTGACCCTTACTACAGTGTTTTTTTACATGCGTTTTAGTGTACCTATGCAGCATGTTGGTACAGCTGTTTGCCTAATTCCCTGTACTATTTTTTTTCCACAAGTTAAAATTCTAGTTGCAAGTCACTGCATTATTATCAAGAAGCAGGACAGACTTTGTTAATGAAATTGTCTAGTGCTTGTGCCTTTGGCAGTCCTTGTGGAGGTGGGGAAAAGGAATTGTTGAAGTTTGTACCAGGTTATCTGACTTTGAAGATGGAATTTCATGCATTGTGACCACCTGATACAACCAGTAGTTGCAATACTGTTTGTATAGGTGCCAAGCTGAAGGTATTTCAGCCAACAGCTTTTCGGGTTCTATCTACTTATTATCATTTGTTTTGAATGCATCTCTAATTGGAATTCCAGCGGGGAAGGATCATAGGAAAATAGGGATGAAAGGGACCTCATGAAATCTTCTGGTCCAGCCCCTGCTCAAAGTAGTGTCACCCCTGACTAAACCATCCCAGCCAAGTGTCTGTCCAACCTGTTCTGAAGAACTTCCAAGGAAGGAGATTCCAGTTTCTCTAGGTAGCCCATTCCCACCCATGTAGTCTGAAAATTCCTCCTATAGTCCCCTCTTTAATCTCTCTTCAGGTATTTGAAGCCTGTTATCAAATCCACCTTCAGTCATCTCCAGACTAAATAACCCAAGCTCTTTCGGCCTTCCTTTATCTGTCATGTTTCCTAAGCCCCTAATCACTTTTGTTGCTCTGCACTGGACTCTTTCCAATCTGTCCATATCCTTCTTGAAGCATGGGGTCCAAAACTGGATACAGTACTCCAGGTGAGACATCACCAGTAGTGAATAGAGCAGAAGAATCACTTCCCTTGGTTTGCAAGTGACACTCCTGTTAGTAAAACCCAGGATTCTGTTGGCTTTTTGCAACAAGAACACATGGTTGTCTCATTCAGTTTGTGGTTGGTCAGTCTGCTGTAACCCCCAGGTCCTTCTCTGCAGTGCTGCAGTCATTTCTCAGTCCCTATTTTTGCTGTTGGGATGCAGTTCCATCCCAAGAGCAGGACTTTGGCACTTGTCCTTGTTGAATTTTATCAGATTGATTGCAGAACATTTTAGGAGTCTAACCAGGTCACTCTAGATCCTAACCCTGCCCTCCAAAATATCAGCTCCATCCAATCTGGTGTCATTTACAAATCTGCTTAGCGTGCACTGTCCCATTGTCCAAATCATTAATGAAGATATTAAACAATACCAGACCCAGGACTGACCCATAGGAACCCCACTTGATACCTCCTCCCAGCTAGATATTGAGCCATCAGTGATTGATGATTTCATTACATGAATCATTGATGACTGATGAATGGTTTAATTACATTAGCATTTGTAATATGTGACTTTATTTAAATACTTTTTCTTTTTTAAAAATAAAATTAAAATGAAAGATAAAGTAACTCATGTAAAGGCCTAAAATTAGTTTACTAAATTATAGAAATTAAATACACTCAATCAATACATTTTTGCTGCTGCATTTTTAAAGAAGTCAAGCCAACCTACAGCTAGAAGCATCTAGAAGTAGAGTTTGTTAAAGCGTGAAACCAGCTTTGGATAGAAGTACTCTCTCTTCCAGTTGCAAAGAGAATATTTTCAACTTTATTTAACTTGATTAGTTAAGTGACTAGCTCATTTAAAGTTGAGGGCAGAGGCAGCTGTAACAATTGTATCAATATCAAAGGATACAAATATCAAATGTTATAGTTCAACAGTTATGTTAACATGATTCTGTAGTGATATGAGCACTGCAAAACTACTCCAGTTTTGGATCCTGCTTTATCCCAAGACAAAGTTAGGGC